TATCTAGAACACACAGCAAGCTGTCATCACAGACTATACACTGAAGATTTCACCGAAAGATACAAACTGGTACAGAAAGCAGTAGATCTACAGTTAGAATATGCTACACATCTAAAGCCCCACCCTGACAATGCCAAGAAGACATTAAAGTCACCAAAGAAAAGGAAGACATATACCTACAAAATTCAATACTAACTGACATGCTCCAATATACAAAATCTAACTGAAATGTAAGTATGACTAAGTGTATAGAATGAAAAGTTCCTGAGTAACACTTCAACTAGGGTGAAAGGACTTTAAAAGGTTTAAGACACCTTAAGATGGTATGCATATTTCTCATATACATGTGTTTATATATCTGTGTATGTAAATATAGAAGTACATTATAACTATAGTATAATGTAGATATGTATGTGTTGTGTTAACCAGGTCCATAACCTAGAAATCAAGAGCTAGTGATCCAAATGGTAAGAATATAACTTGTCACTAACCCTGGGGACAGACCTTGATATGTAAATAAAAAGGCTCTATAGAAAATGTACCAACCAAAACAAGCATGTCAAATATCTTTCCCTGAGGAATGCCACAGGACAAATAATGGGGGAATGTTTGCAGCAAGTGTTTGAGGTTGCTCTCTGAGTTCCTGGTACTCCATGAGGGGAAAAAAGAGATTTGTTTTATTCTCAACTGTAACCCTGCTGCTGCATAGTATGGCTTTATACATAGTAGGCATTCAATTAATGCTTATCGAGTAGAGTAACATGTTGATGAATAGTCATGCCAGAGAGAGGGACTCAGAATAGGAAAAGAGCACACTGGAACAGAGGGGGCAGGCACAGCTGTTCTTCTGCATACTACTTAATCCATCCAACAAGTGCTGATTGACTGCCTACTGTGTACCAAGCTTACGCTAAGGTAGCATTTTTAAATGCTCAGGGGTGGTGTCCCTATCAGAGGCAGTGGCTGCATGAACTCTGGATGTACACTGGGTGCATTTCATTTCTTATATCCACATAAGCAGGGGTGGTTCTCTTCTTTCTTCCTTCTTGCAGCATAATCTTATGTCCTTGCTTGGTATCTGTCACTGTGAAGATTCCCAGCATCATCAAAGGACTGTGCTAATTTGGCCTTGAAAGAACATGGAGGGAAAACCCAGAAATTAAATATCAAAGTAATAAAAAGGGGTATAGGAGTTTATGGACATAAATTGTATACAACTGTTAAATGGTACACTGTCAAGCAGATTAATTAGCTAACATTTAAAATGAGCAATGAAGATGAAAATTGCCAAATAAGGGCTTCGTATATTGAACCAATACCTCATTTGTTATAACTTCATGACATACAAAGTCTACCAGTTGCTGAGACAATGGAGGTGTCCAAGTTGGAATGCACTGTTTGCCCTGGTTCAGGGATCCCAGTGCGGTAATCATCTAAGGCTTTTGAGTTGAAGCACGCTTACTAAGTGTCTGTGAACTCATGAGTGTGAACCTGTTCTGTCCCAAAGCCCTTTGTGTTTGTCCGTCAATTCTGCTGATGCTACCAGCCCCCAAGACAACCAAAGACCCCCCACTGTGAGAGGCTGCTTAGAGCCAACTCATGTGTTTATAAATAAATCTTGCTGGATTTTTCTAACCCTAACATGGATGTTTTAAAATGGGATTTGGTTAGCATTCCTCAGGATACATGGTGTTCTACCCTTGAACAGTACCCTTGAACCTGAATATTGAACCACCTCGAATACTCTTGAATAACAGCACAGTCCGAGCCAGCACTCAATACAAAACCACCTCTGACCCAGCAAGGCACAAATGATCCACTAGATGTAGGAGTCAATGGAGGAAGAATGCCAACTCACAAGCCACTTTGCTCTGGTACCCAGTGTCATGTGAAATCACAGCCTTTTGGCACATTTCATCTCTAGAAACAACTGAATTCTGTTTATTTGGTATAGTTATGCTTGTGTAGCTATACAGCATTGTTTTATTTTCACTAACATTTGTTTCTACTTATGTGAGTTTTATAACCTCTCTTTCTTCCAAAGAAATAGAGATAGTTTACAGATTAAAACAATATGGATGGCTAAGGTATACAGGAATAAAATAGGAGAAACAATACATTCCTGTGGGGGAACACATCAGGTACATTATCCTTCGGTCAAAAAAAAAAAAAAAGTAACAAAATCCTGGGTTCTAGCCCTGGCTAGCTGTGTGGTCTTGTTCAGTCTTTATTGCATTGGCAACAAAAGTTCTCTAAAACCTTTCCAACATGATTTTTAGAGTGTTTGGAAAATTTTCTGGCATTTGTGTGTAAGACAATGTAGGGTGGGAAATGTAGCAAATCTGTAGAAGAGGCTAAGGTATAAGAGGGGAAAGGGGGATTAACCATAAAATCAAAGAAAGAGGGAGGTATAAGGAACTGGCTGGTTTGTGGGAGCAAGGTGAGTCAATGGTGATCAGCCCTTCGTGACTAGAAACGTGTCATCACTATGGAGAGGAGGTAGAAGACGGGGCTAGCCTGCCCTGTGGAGTTTGTGATGATGGGGAAACCTCCAAGGGAAAGTGTGATGTAGTCATGTCTGGTATGAACTGGACCTGAGACAAGAAAATAAACCAGGAGATAAATGTGCTGAGGTCATGGGTGTTTCTGTAAATGGACAGCTGAGCACACACAGGAAGAATGCCCGGGGAAGGAGGGGCCTTTGGCTCAGTAAGTTGGTACAAGCATTTGTTCTTGCAATAAAATGACCCGAATTTTTTCCTCTTCCTCCTTGTCTCTAACCTCATTCATGTTTTCCCAGAGAGAAAGCCTGCTCCTACCGAGTACCCACACAACGACCAGAAACGCTGTTTCTGTCGGGGTACTTTTGAGCAAAATGGGCTCCTGCGTGTTTTCAAGGCTTCATTCTGCGTCTGTAACAAGGTTCCACCTAGCTGCATCTCCTCCTCTCAAAATGTGCACAATCAGATAGGCTGGGTTCGGGATGTTTGAAGCAAACAAATTTTATTTACATCTTCCCAAGCCTGTTTCTATCCATTCCAAGCCCCTTCTCCTCTTAGGGCCATCCATGTGGTGTGCTCAGTGTCATCCTTATCAAGCACACTGATCATGAGTTTGTGATGTCGCTTTCCTATAAGTCACAAATTTAACTATATCAACCTCTGTGATTGGTGTCAGTGAGTGGGATGACTCCATGCCCCAAGGTTCCCAGAGAAAGAGGTAAACCTGCCACCACAGCCTAACCTCTCGCAACAGCCTGCCCTGCCCGCCGCTGAGCGGCATGGGAGCAGCTTCCATATGCTCACTCTGTCCTGGCGCTTCTGGGGTTTAGACTTGGAACTTCTGAGATGATAAAGACAGATCCAGATAAAGAAAAACCTCTAAAGGTTTACATTGCATTTAAAAATAAATAGAGTAGGATTTGCTGACGGAAGCAGAGGCAGGTGGATTTCCACAGAGAAACCCTGTCTCGGGGTAAAAAGAAACAAATGAAAGTAAAAATAAAGTAATAAAAAAGCCACAGAAAGATGAAAAATACACAGAGAATCTGGATACTATATGCCATATTGTTGTCTTTAAATTGTTTGATTGCTGAGGAAAGACTTACTGCTACTAAAATACATTTGATTATAAATGCTGCTAAATCAATCCAACTTACACATTTTAAAAATGCTCTAACTTCAGGATTTGAATTTAAGGACAGGCTACTTAGAAATAAAGGTTTTGCTTGTATCTCCACAGAAAATCAAAAGCTGTGGATTCCTTCCAGACTAATATGGTTTGATCAAGTAAGACCCCCCTAAAGCTGAGATGATACAGCCTTACAGACTACAAAAACAAGGACTTGGTCATGTTTCTATGTTTTATCATGATCCCCATGGCATATGAACATCGTCCCCAATCAGCAGGAAGCAGTTTAGAAAGAACGACTCCCATATTCCCAAATATTGTTTATAAATGTTTGTTTTCAATTTAAATGGGTTTAGTTATAAATGATAATGAGCAGAGTCAATCTCCTTTTAAAGAAAGAAAAAGGGAATAGGATATAGGAATAAATACTTTGCATTGGTATAGATTTCGTTTATTGATACAACTTTAAGGTCAATTTTGTGATATGTATATGTCTCTTCTTGTTTAGGTATTGTGTTTATACAGATCTTTCACCTATAATAGTCAGAATTTATAATTAGGTTAGCTAGGTTTTCTAGATATAGAGATGTATTTAAGATAGATAGGTATTCTTCAAACCTTTCAAAGACTTACAGAAATATGGCATTTAAATGGTTTAGGGTTTTTCTTGGCAGTAAGACACAACTGCTCCTGGCACACCAATTACTTCAGAAAGGAGAATGGGCATCGAAGAAACTCATTATGGAGTTTGCTTTCAACATGGCAAGATTAGCCATTTGGGCAAGAAACTGCTCTTGCCTGGACTGTTTGTTGCTGTATAAACTGGACATGAAGGACCCACAAGAAAATGACTGCTAAACTTACAAAACTAGACAGTACTAAAGGGTTCCTGTTGAAATGGAGAAGTGTGCCAGACACACTGTGGCCTATGGGCTGAAGATGAATGTCCCAACGTTACAGAGGAACTTTAGGTGACTGTCCAGGTAGCAAGATGTCCTGTCAATTCTAGAGTTTATATATTATCATTCTATGGTCTTTGATAGAGTTGAAGACAGATAGTTATGGTTATAGTTTTCTTCAGTTATTATAAAAGATAAGTCATCCTTCTTTTATTTAGACAGAAAAGAGGAGATGATGGGGAATGTACTACTGTGTATGTTCATCTTATTGATTATTGAATAAAATACTGTTTGGCCAATGAGACAGCAAGTTAGACAGAAGTAGGAGTCAAAGAGGATTCTGGGAAATGTAGTAGAGAAGCTGAACCAGGCAGGAAGTGACATAGCAACGACTCATATTTAAGCGAAAGAGAAACAGGAAGTGCCCTCTTTTCCCCTCGGCTCCTGCTCCAGCGGCACAATGTGATTCACCAGCAAGGAGGGACGCCAATATGGCGTCCGATAAGATAAGTCCCATAAAATATATAGATGTATGTAATTGAGACTGAGCTAACAAATGAGAATCCTAGTCATTGGCCAAGCAGGTTTAACTAATACAAGTCTCTCTGTGTATTCATTTGGACCTAACTTGGGCAGGCGGCTGGCGTAAAGCTCGCACGTGGTGGTGGGGCTCAGGCAGCTTTTGGCAAAAAGATTTATCGTAACATGTGATCCTTCCCCTAAATGAGGAACTTGGAGGCAGGCATACAGTCCTGAAGGTTTCTATTATTTAATGATCACCTCTTACCACATAATAAAATCCTGACCAATGGACTAAACCAGCTGCACACACACATTCTAAAAAATTGTATTTCCATTTACCTTTCCCCTCTTACTCTTAGCAACAAACTCTTAGCAAACAGAGACAGATGTTACATATGAGAGAATAATTAATTTCAGTGAAATAAAAATTAAATGATATTTTTGTATAGAACATAAATGACATGTTCTACTTTTTCAAACTATAATATGCCATAATATATAACACATAGCAATAACTACCAGTCAGTTCTATATATTTATATATAATAATATACAATTAATACATTAACATACACTTTGTATATAATGCAAGTATTGTGATTGAGTAGTTCCACTGGTCTATGTTAAGATAAGTATATTAGCAATCACAAAACATAATGTCACTCAAAGTTGAAACATCTTCTCAAAAATAGTTGTTGATAGTCTCATCATTGTAATTTATGCCAGGCCAATGTCTCTGATGAGATTGATAACATAAATGTGGCAATAATTTTATAGAGGAAAGGAGGTATAAAATATAAAATAAAAGGAGGTTCAACTGAGGCTACAAATTCTATAAGGTATTGGCTTCACAGAGACTAAACTCTCTGGCAATTCAGTGGTTTAGATGAAGCTGCCCCTTCTGATGTTTCCTCTCCTTGACTCAGTTATTTGTAAATTGAAATCCATCTCAGGTTGAAATGAAATGCCCTCCGCATGAGCTGGAATACAGAAATGCCACACCCCACCCCACCCCAGTTCCATACATTCAAGAGAAAAAATGTATGTATCAAGCATGGGAAAGAAGGGGCAGAACAAAACTTCATTGGCAAGAAAGAAAAGATGGAAGAGAAGGAAAAGGAAAGCCTGGCCTAGCCTATGTGTTGAAGAGGCCTCCAACAAGGGTAACACCGACACATCCTCCATGTTCTATGCTTTCAGGGCATAGAAACCACATGCCTGTACAGAGAGAAGTGCCAGCATTAAAGAGGGCTTTAATTTTTCCTCTGTTGAGCATCGTTTGCACAACCGCCACTCTAATGTGCCATCAAACATAGACATCCTTCTGTGTTCTTCAGAGGTTGGCTGCTAGATACCCTGCAAAGTGAGGAACACCAGACTTCATACTGCCAGTCCCCACATGGTGAGAGTATCACACTGCATAAGCCAAACCAGGAAAAGAGCAAACGTACAATTTCTGTGGAATTCACATCATTTTTGTACCATCATGAAGCTGAAAACTTATCTGGAATGCCTCACGGAGACTCATGCTGTAAGCTCTCCATGCTGTCTTGGGAGGTTATGGAGCCTTTGGGAGGTGAGTCCTAGATTGAACACACAGGCCACTAGCAGGCCTTCAAAGGCTCAGATCTGCCTTGGGTTTTGTTCTGGCTTTGTGTTTCCTGGTCCAGCCTTCATGTGACCATTGCCATTAACACTACTCTCTCTGCCTTCCCGGCTGCCGTGGCCCAAAGGTCTCCCTCTTTAAGTTGCTCCTGCCTGGTATTTTATCTCAGTGATGAGAAAAGTCACCAATCATCGTAAATTGGCAACCAGTTGTATATGGGAATGCTTTTGAACCCACAGCCCAGTTCCTGAGGGGCATCATGTGTTTTGGAATTAGACTACTAACACAAACACACAGAAATAAATACAAGCTAAAGTCTAAGAAAAAGGCTTCTGTTCAAGATGAAAGGGAAGGCCACTGGAGAGGATGAGAAATGAGGAAGTAACACAGCTGAAATGAATGAGAAACAAGAAAAGTGGTGAGAAACATGAAAGCCTATAGGGACATACCGTAAGACTTCAAGGACTGGGGGAAGGGGGAGTTCCAAGTTCAAAGCTATACTATTATCATGCTTGGGGACCAGAAGCAAATGACTAGTTTGCTACTTTTAGTAGCACCTGATAGAACAGTGAGGGACAGGGACTTGGGAGAGTCATTTTCAGTGTCAGAAGAGTGGACCAGTGAGATAGGCATCCTAGAGCTTCTCTGTTCCTCCTCTATTGGCATTTGCTTCTTCTTTACCTCCTGGAGTCATTGTACTGTACCTCTACAGAACAAGAGGCACTGATTCACCTTGTAGTCATTATGCTTATCAATCATCTACCCAATTCACACCATATAAAGCTCACCCATCTCTGTCTGTCATTAGGCATCTTGTGGTGTCATTTCCTTAATCTTCCGTCTTTCCCTCAGTCTCTCAGCTTTAGCTCCTCCTATTGCTCATGCTCTGAGAGAACACACTATTAAACCATTCAAATTCAGTTGTTGCACAGTGGTTACGTGAGGGCTCTTGACCTTTATCAAATGATCACATGAAATATAATCATACCTCCTCATAAATTTGACTAAAAATTAATATATTCCTTATGGATGAGTTTTAAACAGTTAATAATAACCTTATTTTCCACCTTTGACTTTGGAAGAGTTTCAGAGTGACTCTTTAGATGAGGCTAGCCTCTTTTCAAGTCGTCTCATGAGCAGAGAGACCAGTGGCTGGCCCTGGACTGAATTCTATTGGGTAGTTTTATTAGCTGATTAAATAAATTCACCAAGGACACCCTTAAAAGTTGGAAGGGAGGCTCTGAGCCTGGATAAGATGGTGGAGTAAATGAACAAGATTCATGAACTAGAGATATGGGCAGCACTAATGATGAAATGACCTATAGATTTCTGATGAGAACTTCATCTTAACAGAAGAATAAACTGTAGGTTACTGTTTATAGTTCTAAAACTTACTGAATGCCTGCCAAACTTGAGCTTTACCTGTGGTTTAAAGGCTAGTAATAGGGAGATACAAATTAAATTTACTCTAGATTAAAACCAGACAAGACTAGATCTCAACAGACAAAATAGGTATATTCCGCAGGTGTGCCAGATAAACATAAAACAGTCAATGGAAGTGAAAACTAGCAAGTTTTTGAGTTTCCATGATCCCTCTGTCTACTCTAGTAGAGACCACGAATGTGATGTCATTCTCTGTTGAGTGACGCTGTTGTCTTCCTACCCCACCATACGTTCCTTGGGAATACCTATTTCCCATTCATCTGACTCATCGTGGATACGCAGCAAATGGTTAGTGGATGGGAGAATAAATGAATGCTGTGTTTTCTAATGGGAAATATTTGAGTGGGAAGAAAACTTGCTGAGCTCCCAACACAACCATGTGCTGCATTTGGATCTGGAACAGGTTCTATGAACCAGTCCCTTTCCTCTGAACCTAAAGGAACACATGTATTGCTTCTCCTCTATGTCGGTATCAAGTCTGGAACATTTTACACTACTAAATCACTTTCATTAGGCAATATTTCTTCTTCCTCTTTCCCTTGAGACAACCAGTATTGACGTGATTTATATCATTGCCAAGAACTGGTATCTTACATTTTTTATCTGTTTGATTTCTCACTCATACACATTCTCCTCTTTTTAACTGAATCTAGGTTACTGCTTCCCTTAGGTTGTTATATTTCATCCTCTGGCTTCTAAGTTCAAAGTTCTAAGTTCAAAGTTAAGCCTTCTAGAACCATTTAAGTCTATATTATTCTATTCCAATTCTTACATATTTGAAATCTATGCCTTTTCAAGATATGTCCTAGAGAAGAAAGTCCTGTTGTTTGCAATGATCTATATCCATGTTATTAGTATTCAGGCATTTGTACTGGCCTGCCCTTAGGATCCTGACAGGATACATCCTCAGTTGCAGCCACTAAGAGCACCACCTATGCACATTCACTATGTTCCCTTTTAAGAAGCAGGCCTTGCCTACCTCTTCTCTCCTCTCTCTCTCTCTCTCTCTCTCTCTCTCTCTCTCTCTCTCCCACTCACTCACTACTCTTGTCCTCAGGGACTGGTCTCTCTCCCCCTCTCTGCCCCTCCTCTCTGCCCCCTTCTCTGCCCCTTCTCTCTCCTCTTCCAATAAACCTCCCATGTGAGACCTGTTGTATGGTGTTGACTCCTTCCCACCATTTTTAAATAAATTATAACACATGTGATTACAGAAAATTACTTGTCAAATAAGAAAAAGCAAAATTAAGGATGGCAAATAGAAAAGAATCCCCTATCTAAAATAAGAGTGATGTGTTTCTTTTTTAAAAAATTCCAACAATAAACACTTCCATGCTCAATATAAACATTAGTGGATCCTGCTGTGTCCTAGAAGGATTTTTAGAGGTAATTATCTTGACTCTCCAGCCATGGAATCAAGAATATGTTTCTTAGTGTCTCCAACTGGGTTTGCCAAGCTGGAATAAGTGACCAAGCTAGTCCGAGTGATGCCTCCCAAAACACATGATGCACAAACAGAAGAACACCCTCACTTACAGAAATGTTCACTGTAGTTACAGAGAGGGAAGAATAAAGAAATGAGGCACCCTGGAGCAAGGGCCACTGCCTGCTGAGAGGCCAGCCATTGCAAATGCTGAGAACATCATCAACAGGACTCGGAAGGCAGATGCCTGTGGCCTCCACATGCAGGTCTTATCCAGGGATTGGTTGGCTGCAGGACTGGGAGGTCTAAGGAAATCACAGTGGTCACCCTACCTTGGGTGTACTTTTCACCCATTGTCAAGCATCATATTTCCTCATTCAACTTGCAAGAAGACAAAGTAAGGTTTAAGAACTTTGAAAAGTTGATAAGGTTAGTAACGTGGTTAGCCATTTTGAGTGTTTTTGGAGATGAGGAGAGACACCTCTGAGTGTCTCAGATGGAAGGACGATACTACAATGGGAGTGGGGGAGGGGTGAAGGGGGTGACCATGGCCTTCCAGCCTTGCTGCTCGTTCCAGACTGGCAGATGAAGGGCTGAAAGCCAACACTGCCTCACTGTTGCTTAGGGAGGCAGGCGAGAAGGTATGTGCCTTTCCAACAATGATTTAAACAGTGGAGTCTTTCTTCTACTTAAAGTACCAAGAATAAAAGAACTGAGGAAAGGAAGAAAGAATTCACTAAAGAGAGAAAAAGCAGAGTCTGTTGGAAAATGTGAAAGAGAATAGGAGAGGGAGCAGGGAATAGATCAGACAGGGATGGATAGTGAGACGAAGAGAGATTGACTGAGAGGAGAGAGAGAAGATGCTGGGCCACTTGTAAAGAAGTAGAGCCATCTGTAAAAACAGTGACTTTGCTGAACACAGAAGAAAAGAGCAAATTAGAGGCAAAAGAAAAAAGCACAAAATTAAAAAGCTTCCAGAAATAGAAGCATGAAATGCCATAGAGCCATGAAAGACTTGTGGATAGGGAATCCTCCAAACATTTATGTTTAGTTTACTGGGGAAGAACGCAAATCCAAGAGGTGACACAATCAAATGAGGGCGGGAGTGATAAGTCACACACAAAACTGAGTGTCACCAAAGAGAAGAACAAGGAAACAAGGGAGAAAAAGAGACAAGGGGCTTTTGGCAACAGAAACATTCTTAGATCCCAAAATTTCAACACACACATGGGCGCACACACACACACACACACACACACACACACACAGAGAGAGAGAGAGAGAGAGAGAGAGAGAGAGAGAGAGAGAGAGAATAGTCTCTTTTAAATGTCATACTCAATTTTGAAAAAGAAAAAGAAAAGAAAAAAGAAGGAAGGAAAAAGGAAAAGGAGAGAGAGAAGCACTTATAACTTTTATTGAAATCTGAGCCTGGGGATACAGGTAGGGAGAAGAAAGCGCATCTTAACCAGAGAACCAAAAATAAATAAATAAAACAAAATCATTCCCTGAAAACAGAGCTAGTTAACCCAGAACCAAAGCTCCAGGGCACATAGCCAGCCATTCATGCTACCATCCATCATCATCAAAACCTTCTAGAAATACTTGTGGAATGAGACAATCAACAAACGCATAATAGAACACATGCATAAATCTGTAGAGTTTCAACATTCACTTGTACTTTTGGGGGTCCCAGTGCCATTGGAACATGCCCAGTTCCCCAGTGCACCCACCTGCAGACTCTCTCTTGCCTCCTTTACTGTGCCAGCTGGCAGAATCCCTGAGGTTCTTGGTGTACTCTCAAGGGTCTCAACCCCAGCCCTGCCCCATTAGCAGGGGGAAATGGTGAAAAATTTTAACGTCTCAAAGTATTAAAACAATTCTTCCTGCCATGTGGCATGTAGAGTGAGGCCACATAATTACCTTCAATTAAAATCAACACAGAAAAGTTTAATGATGGCCATCCTAATGCCTACAAAACAGGAGAATGGTGAGGTTCCTGTAAAGATGACTAAATACTTAAGTCTCCTGACTCCCAATTAAGGGACAGTCAGTGACTATTGTGATGGGGACCACTTACATTCCTTCATTCAGGATGTCCCTGGAGACATGAGGTGCTTGCAGGGTTTGAAATTTTGGCAAAAAAGGAAAAAAATAACCCTTGGAGATGTTAGACTAGGGATGGTAGATCTCCCTCTCTTACACACACACACACACAACTATACTACTCTTAAATATTCAAATTCTAGAATTTTGGTGGTCACTTAAATCCCTGAAGGACTCCAATACTTCTCATGCTTGAATTTTTTTTTCATTATAGAATCCACTTCCAGTCTATCAAAATCTATCACTAAATTCAATGTATTTTTTTTCTTCAATGAGTACTTGTTTTAAGCTAACTGCTATGGCAGACTTAAGAGGAGACTAGGCAACAATTTGACAAGATTAAATGTCCATCAACCTCAGGCTTGAAAGTACACAACTACAAAAGAGATTCTCAGAATAGAGGTTTGAATTACAGAAAGTGATCCTAAGACCTAGGGAATTTTTCATCAGCTCCCTGAGAGCCAGAAAAGTATGACTAAGAAGTGTGGCCAGGCTTCAGAAGAGCATATCAGAGCCAGATAAATCTGTTTTCATGTGAGCCCAGAGATTTTCAAGTTGCATATTAAGTATAGCACATTTGAATAAATGCATCTAAAATCATGGCACAGTAAACGGAGCTTCCTTTTAAATTGTCAAGAAGCCCATTAGATAAGTAACACAGGCTTGTCCTTTAAATATATATTTTTTTAACTGGAAAATACATTTTATTTGGGATTTGAAGAGCTCCTGGAATTAATGGAACCCTCCTTTCTTTTAAATAACTGCATTTTCTCTCATGTCAGTGTCTTTCAGATCTGAAATAATCCGGGCATTTAAAGGGCTCCTGAGGTATTAGCACCACTTTTAACTTAAAAACTCAAAATATTAGTATGTTTCCATAGTGAATGTGGTTCATTGACTTAACACGGTTTATTGTTTTCTTAGCTTGTGTTCCTAGGAATGAATCTTATTACT